TCGGACCGCTGTACCATATCAAGCCCTAGAAGAAAGCCCAGATGGCCCCGTGGCCCTACCTAGCCTCAAGCCAAGATCTCGAACTCAACGTGCTTCTGTGAGGATGGTTGAAGACATTTCGGCACTGGGGCTTCGACATGTGGGCTACGCCATTCCGACGGAGCTGTGTGGGAGAGTTCGGTTACATTAAAGGCTGGGTAAGTTTGGGACGTCAAAGTAAGTCTTTTTTTTTTTTNNGGGGGGGGGGATGGAGTTGGGGTTATATTGATATACTACTCGTACTGTGAGTTGGTGAGGATGCACGGCCTTGAGGTGATTAGTTGAACTGAGATCTGTTCAGCTTGTCGGCTTATCTTCATGCCTGGGCACGGAAACGGTGGCTTTGAATGTTTGTGCTTTGCACGAGAGTGGTCTACTTCTTTGCAACGGGACTCCTGGCCCTTTGCGTTCGACATCCCTCCTGGTGGGAAGAAAACGGATTCGGAGCCCCTGCATCTGTTAGGTTTTAGAGCTTGGTGCTCATAGGCAATAGGGTCTGAAGTCTACCTATAGTTGTTTTTTATAGTTGCTTTTGGGATTTAACCAATTATGGATCAAATATCCCAGAACGTAACCCCAAAAAGGAACTACAATGGAGACGATGGGTAAGTCCAGGGCTCAGGGTTGAGAAGGAGGTGACCTCGACCACGCAAAACTAGCCCTTCAGCGTGTAGAGCTTCTTGAGCAGGCTGCAGTGCTGAAGCCTTTGAAACGAGAAGACGGGGTCCCAGACGGACCCTCAAGCCAAGACCATGCGGGCCAGGAGCTTTTTGCGCCCTTTGTCTCCTGCTTTGTGGAATCCGCTCCGGTGCAGCAGAGAAGTGTTGCAGGGTAGGACTTCGAAGCTTAGGATCCGAGAGTCAAGGGGGGGTTAGTAGGGTCTAGGCTTTAGGGCTAGTGTAGGGTGCAGGGGTGCCATCGAAGTATACTCTGGGTATCGGGGGGTTCCGTAAAACCCAACGCCGACTTTCGGCGAGGAGCCCGTAAATGAGCAATGCCCGACTTGCAGAGTTGAGGTGCTCCGAGGTTGAGTTGAGAAAGCTTCCTTGCACAGATATTCAGGGTTTAGGGTTCAGGGACTCTAACCCATCAAGACAAAACCCTTAAAGGATGTGGAGAGCTGTTGGAGTGCTAGGCTCAAGATTCTGTGCTGTTTGTTGTTGTCTGAGCCGCCTGAGACATACACCATGGTCCTGGCGGTGGTGGCTCTGCCACATGTGGCTGCCTGGGTACCCCCGAATCCAGGCAGGTTGAGCCATTGGAACTGCCAGCTTTCTTGGTCAGCAGTTCCCCTTCGGCAGCATCCTTCACATCAGCGGCCTAGCGCATTGGGTTTTGCGCTCTTTGCAGGCTTCTGTGCCTGGTCGGGGTCTGGGGTGCTGGGCCGAAGAGAGAGCGCCCAGAAAAGGTGCGCCCGCACTTCTTCCATGGGAGAGGCTGACGCGGGTTTGTGCCGGAAAGTCAAAGACCTCTGCCACAAGCATGATATTCCCGATTCAGGTATCTTAGCGATCACGATTCAGAAGAATCGTCAATGTGAGTTTGCCTCACTTATTGTTGACATGGACAAGGAAGCCATTCTGCCTGACTACCCAGTAGAGTTTCCCGACAAATACGAAGAAATGTGGCGTGGCCAGTGGGTTATGGTGTACCATGCGAAGCTGAAGCCCCCTGGCATCCAATCACCGACCGCAAAAGACAACCAGGTCGGCAAGGATGCATTCTGCTGTAGTAACTTGCATCCGTACAAGGCCAAGAAACTAGACGGAGGAAATGAAAGCCGCTTCCACAATTTTCTTCACTCCAGGGGCACCTGCAATGATGTTGTCTTGGCCACTTTTGACCTCACCGCCAGCACGCTCCAATTCCCGCATGACTGGAACAGGATGCGGGAGTTCTTCCGTCCGTGGAGCCCGACGTGGATGCAGCCGAACCTGACCAACCTGGAGCTCCCGGACAATCTCAAGGCGACAGTCGAGGCCACAAACCACTGGTCTGAAGCTATGTTTGGGGGCGGAAAGGATACAGCAAAAGAAGTCCTCATCTACACCGATGGCTCAGCGGACGAGGCCAAAGGCCGGAGCGGCTATGGGGTGGTGATCCTACTCCGATGCGGCGCTCTCTTTGCTGTCCTAGGTGCACTCGGGGGACAGCTTCTGGGCAATGAGGACAACCCCTGGGACCTACAGGAAGCCCAAGGGACGCATGCCCTCCGGGCGGAACAAATAGCCCTGGCTGCAGCTCTGCTCTGGCTCCTGCAATTCAGGAGTGTGCACCCGATGATGGATTGCACCTTCCGCTTCGACTGTTTGGCTGCCGGCTATGGGATGAGCGGCCAATGGGCTCCCCCGGATCCATATGGCGAGCGTGTTCATGAGCTGGCTATGCTGGCCTGCGAGGCCTCGGGTGCGCACACAGTCATGGAGCACGTAAAAGCACACTGGAATGAGGTTGCGGATGCCATTGCCCGTACGGCGTCCACAGGCACCCACGCTTTTGATGGGCCGCCGCTTCCGGCTATCCAATGCTTCCAGCAGGAGAACCTGGCTTGGGTCACCACTGACTTGCTGGCGAGACGTACCGGAACCCTACCCATCCACAATGGTGCCCTGCAATGGAGCGAGAGCCACCCCAAGGACTACAACCTGACCCAGCAGGAACTCATCCCCACAGTGAAAGTTGGCCCGGCGGCGCGTGGCAGCCAAGAGGCCCCTGCCCAGTTCGCCCTATGTGCGGCCACGGTCAATATTCAAGGTTTGAGTGGCCACCACCACTATGTTGAGGAACAGTGTGACCAGCTTGGCCTCAACGTCGTCTTCATGCAGGAGACCAAGGCAGCCGGTGGGACCTGTGCTACCAGGAGGTACCTACGGCTGGCAAGCGAGGCTGATAAGCACTGGGGAGTTGCCATCTGGCTGCACCGCAGCCTCGGGTTGGCCACAGTGGGGGGTCGCCCGATAGTCCCGCAGGAGGCTGACATTGCAGTGCGCCACCAGGAACCAAGGCTCCTCGTTATCACTGTGGCGACGGGCAGCGGCAAGATCGCAATGGTCGCCGGACATTGCCTTGAGGTGCGTGAGCAGGTGAACCACGGACCAACGCTGGGAATACGCTACTTATTGCTTTGGAGGCTGACCGCCGGGTTCTTGTGAAGGGTCCGTTTACCAGTAAAACTACGGCCTACAAAAACTACACCTGCCCGAAGCACAACAGGTTCTTCTCCGTCAACGTCTACCGCACATCTAACAGTTCGCTAGACGCTCGGAACTATCATCACATGCGCTGCATCCCTTACACAAAAAGGAACGACAGCCTCCTTGCCGAGTTCTTTGAGGACATGAGAATTTGACGTAGGTGTGAGCATAGTTACTAGAAAGATTCCAGAACATCAAGGAAGTTGGTGGCCATTTCATGTCCTACCCGGGCCATGTGCTATGTACACTTTACACCTGCAGCTGAACGTGAGTTCTTCCCTGCTGCACCTGCTGCTCTCCCTTGGGCTGGGTTGGTGTTGGTCCGAATGGGTCTTTCGGGTTGGGGTTGTTTTTTCGAGGGCAAGGAGAGCAACAGGCAACAGGGTTTGTACATTTAGTTCTTTGCTCAGTTTTCATCTGGCCGCTGTGCAGAGGCCTGAAGTTAAGGAGGAATGCACAAGTCATACCTTCTGAAGTGGTCCCCTGCTATTCATGATTCACCGGGAGTGCCCCCAATCCCAGAGTCCTTGTAATGTCGGATACAGACCACCCATCTGCAACAGAAAGTGGCCGCATCTTTTGCTTGAACTCGCCGTTGAAGCCGGAGTTCCCTTTTCCTGAAATGGTTAGCCCAGAAGGCTCTTCACAGGACCGCTGGGCAGTCTTCAGGCCCCACCGTGTGCTGCGTATGTCGTGGTGAGATCGAATGTTGATGTTACTAAGTCCTAGGTCTTGTCTTCTGGATGCGGCTGAAGCAATGCTCGTAAGCAGAACATCCACAGGCCGTATACTCTCCGAAATCTAGACTTCACGGGGTCGATTAAGCCACAGAGAAACAACGAAGCCCTGTCGTAATCCATTTCCGGCCTAAACGAAGGCAGTGGATCAGTGTCTAGCGTTGAGGACTTCAGGCTTAGGGGTCGTTGTTTGGGGCTGGCTTGCGTTCGTTCGTGTTGTTCTTTTTCTCTTGGCTAGTGTCGGGCTTGACCCATACAGAAACCAAAGCCCGCGAAGAAACCCTTGGAAGGCCCCACGGCCCCTAAAAATGAAGAGCCCTTCTGGTGGGTTCTCTCCAACAAGGGCCGGGTCAAACAACCGAGCAGCCCTCAACACTATGATACGGTAGGGGCCGAAAAATGGTTCCTTATAAGCCCAACAAGCATGAAGACAAGTTAGGCCGGCCATGAGAACATACTTGTGGAACCCCCCCTATTTCCAAAAGCCCTTATAAATAAGACATTATTCAGCTCGATGCGTGGCCCAAGGTTATGCAGTGTCAGCCCCGAAACCCCAAAAGGGGACGAGAAGCCCTAGAAAGGCTCAGATGATTGCTTACAAAGGCCCGTAGGACTCACTGCAAACACGCCTTTCTCAGGAAAGCCCCCACCCCCCCTAAGGGTTTCGGGCTTCGGGTTTAAAGTTTAAGGTTTAGGGTTTAGGGCCCCATGTGCATTCCAAGGTAAATCAGGTGACATCCGACGAGGTGGTCCAAGAAGCTTTCCGCTGGTCACTGACATTGACCCTTGGCCAAGCTGGGCTGCTGGATTTCAGGCTTTGTCGGAGCTTAATGTAGGGTCATTGGTGTACGGCTTCAGAGCTTTGGG